AACAAGTCCGAAGGGCAAACTAAGGATTATGGCTTATCGAGCTTATTTTTAAAGAAAATGAGTTTTACTCTACTACCTATGAAACTTTATCTTATAGATATAGATGAAGCTAATAAACATGAATCAATTTGAAATATTGAACATTCAGAAATGTCATGGCCCTTCAGTAAGGTAGTTAGTGGTAAGAGTGGTACAGGTAAAACTAATATACTTGGAAATATTTTTGTTGCTAATAAAGGTGAATATATATATAAAAAGAAAAAAGGTAGATCCTGCTATATACGATGTGATGATTTGATAGTTTGTGTATATCACTCAAATGAACCTAAATAGGCATTTGTTAGATATATGTATAGAGTAATTGCAAGTGATCCAAGAGTACTATATTATGAAAATATTAGATTTAAATATATCTCACCTGAAAAAATTCCTAGCGTAAAGTCATTTTCACCTGAGAGAAGTACTGTAATTGTTTTTGAGGATTTATGTGTTGCTCCAGAGTCTATTCAAAACTGAATTATTCTATTCTTCACACATGGGTGTCATCGAAATATAAGCCTAATCTATGTAATACAAAAATATCATCATGTTCCAGTAATTATTCGTGAGAATTTATCCTATCTAGTAATATTTAACAAGAGCAGTTCTTATCAAGATGTGTTCAAAATAATTGAATGATATACTAATAATATTAAGAATGCATTAATAGTTATTAACAGCTACTTACACAAAGGTGAATTTATTGTATTTGATCTAGATAGGCCTGAGGATGATCCACTTGCAATTCAGCTAAGGTTTAATACTCTACTAGATTTGCAAAAAGAGATAGAGTTACAGCAAAAGCACAAGATAAAAAATGTATTGCTAGCTGAGCCTACAAATTCTGAACTCAAAAAAACTGAAAAATTGAATAAATAATATAATTAAAAAATTGATTAAATACTATGCTTCTATTTCTAAAAGTTGCTTTCGGAATCTAACCTGCAATTGACTCTTTTTAGAATCTATCTAATTAACTGGGATATAATATTCTTTATATTGACTATTAATAATGAAACTGCATATCATAGGATTGTTTTTATATAATTCAATCTATTTAGTATGCTATTGATCAAATTGTTCTTGAGTCTGAGGATTTTTCATTTTATGTCTCGTTAAACCTAGAAGTTTTTCATCATCTGAGGTACCATCATTTGGTAAACTGTTCCAAGCAAGTTGTACATTTGATGGTTCCCTTTCTTTAAAATTTCTCCAAAGTCTTTATATAATCTTTGCACATCCAAACTCAGTTCATAGTCTTAAGTATCCATAACCGGTTTGTAGTCTTAAGTATTCATAATCATAATGATCTTTCATTAAATCGAATTAACTTGTTTTCGAACCTAAATTAACATTGACATGTATAAGTTTCATACAATAAAAACATATTGCAGTACCATCTTCATATGGTTTACCTCTGCTATAATTATATTTATCAAAATTCACACTTTGAATGTGTGAAGCATGAAGGCAATACTGATGAAATATAGAACGTGGACCTCCTAGACCTTTTAACTCTTGAAGAGTAATTCTAACATGACAACTCCACTGAATAGGCATTTCTCTTTTAAAGATCATACTAATGAAATCATAAGACCTCTCAGTATCGATAACTCTATTAAGAACATTATATCCACCAGTTCTTGCAATCCTTTCATTTATATCATGTTCTGCTCTCAACATATTTAATGATTATATGAGATTTAAGTATATTTAGAGGTATTTTGACCTATCAGATTTGGTACAATATATATGATTAAAACCAGATTTATTTTTAGAACAAATTAGGTTATTAGATGAGTTGTGTATATTTGTTATATTTTGTGAGTGATATATAAATGAGAATGGAAGAGATGCATATTGGGTTGTAGCAAGAATTATAAACCCAAAGGGTGCAAAAAATTTCACTTGTACTATTCTCGTATTCAAATTGTATCCTATATAAAAAATTAAGAAATAAGATTAAATTTATATTTTATGCGGTCTAATTAAATTACCTAATTGATTATTTTTGTGAACTGAACGAACTATCTAAGTCAAAGTACGGAGCTATCAGCAATAATGATTATGCCCTTTCAAATACACAACACATATAGTTAGAGGCCCTATCATTAAGAGGTGAAGACTCAAGTGAAATTTTTTGCATAACTATATATACCTGTAACAAGTAACCTGAGCAGTCGATCTATCAACGCAATGGAATCTGATGCAAGAAAATAAAACTGTATTATTTACCTAATTCATCTGCGTGTTATAAAATTTTCAGATTAGATTGTAAATGATAATATCGCAATAAATTATATACTTATGTAAAATTCGAGGTAGATACATTCAAACTATTTCTCATCTTGTAGTTCAGTGGACTAAACTGCAAGAAACTCATTCAGTCTTCCTTTCCTCACCACACAGACAATTATAGTAACGATCATATCCTCTAAAATTGGGTTTATAAGCAGAGAAAAAAATAAATTGTGGGGAGGTAACAGTCGGATCCTGGGCCTGCTTTGAAAAGTAATGACTATACCTGAGAAGATTATGCATAGTCAGAGGCCTTATCACTTCTATAACAGAAACGAAATTTTTTGCTTGACTAAGTATATCCATACAAATAGTTCTGGCAATCATCTTATCAACACAAAAACAACCTAGTGTGGTGGAAAATCGATAAAAAAATTGCTCTAAAATGATTTTATATGATATTATGTAGCTATAAAATAATTCTATATTTGGTTGTAAATAATTCAACATCGCAGATATGTACATACATATGTATTATCATTATATTTTAATACTGGTAAATCACAACAATTATGCAAGGTCAGTTTCAAGATTAACATGTAAGAATTAGGGCTGTAGGACTGGTTTGCATCATAATGATATATATAAATATTTGGAATAATTTTTATTAAATTCGCATATTGAGAATGTATTATGAAAAAAGCCAGCAGTACAAATGCAGAGCATCCTCTTTTCAAGAGAGAGTGGCTTATCTAGAATTTACTATACGGTCATTGCTACAAGGTCGTGATTTTTATTGCCTACTTTCCAAAAAAGTTATTAAGTTGGCTATACATTTAGTTTACTGACCTATATACTAATAGCTCGAGGTCTTTTTCGTAATCATCGTTTAACATTTCTCTTGATCTTATTGTAGATAAGATAGTAATACAAGTCACACAAAATTGGGAATGTGCCTATAATAAAAATTGCATTTGGCATTATGATAATTTGACATGAAATCACTATATTTAGTCTTGTACTTCAACGTCCTACTACAATTTTATGATTTGGAGTTGTAGGGCCAGGATTACCTGATAAGACATAAATATTTGTATATCTGAATTTTACCATAGATATTAGATGTTCTATCAACAAACGATTTCTGAATTTATACTACACATCGATTTTTTAGACTATGGATGGAATAGGTGGCTTCAAAAAAATATTATGCTCATTTCATATACTATGTCATACTTTTCTACGGCCTCCAGAGACTGTCAGAATTTAAATATTTACGTTAAAAAATATCACATAAAAAAATAAAGTTCATTACACAAAATTAGGTATGTAGTTTGTATCACTTATCTGCAGAATAAATTCTCATAGTTAATAATGAATATTATGAATTTCTGGAAAGGCTTTTCTTATTATATACGATTCTACGATAAGAAAAAGTGCGAATAGAACTTTAAAAGGCTATAAGGGCAAGGAGTATAACGTTCTTTATGGTAGTTTTATCAAAATTTATATGTTGTAAGAATTTGACATTCTCAGATCATTGAGATCATTGACTTTTTTATTTCGCAGGAAAGATCATCGAATATAAGGAGTCTAATTTCACTAGAAAAATAACAAAATAGATTCAGTATTTGGAACTTATGGCCAAGTGGAGTTGCTTTATGTAAAAAAAAGCTAGCATTGAATTTGGATAACGTAATAACTAATCCTATATTTTTTTTTTCTGGCAGGTTCTCAAACCGAACGAATATGAAGTATAAAATAAGCAAGCTCCTGCTCACAAGATAAGTTAGCAATAATGTTATTTTTTGCTCATATATATTTTTACTTGATTCATTTGCCTATTTTTAAAAGTAATGTACCATTTAATAGAGACTAAGAAAACCAAATTTTTACTTACTATAATTTTTTTGTATTTAGGTACAAAAAATGAGTACTAACGATAGTACCACCTCCAAGACTAACAATACCCCCAAGACTAATGATAACACTACTTCCAAGACCAATGATAGTAATGCTTCCAAAACTAATGACTTCAATCCAGAAAATAATCAAAAAAAGCTATCTGGTGTAGGTATAATTGTTGATTATCAAATTCTATCTAGTTATCTGAGTATCAATCCTATAACATTTTCAAAAGTAATAAAACCTCATGGTTACTATAGCTTTTGATTTTTTATTCATATTTGTATTATTTTATTTGTATGTTGTCATTCTAACAAAAAATATTAAATAAAGAAGGGGGGTCCTATGGCCTTCCCATATTTTATTTTTACATAATTTTGACCCTTTAAGATTACCCCTTCGGGTCTGCAATTATTAATTAGTGGAAATAAAAGAGTTTTCTTATTAACCTATGCTTTTACAGTCACTATTTGAATTGAATTCTGATATTTATTCCTCCAACATGTAAGACGATATGTTTTTGTATTGACATAATCGCCACTCCCCCACTCACCTTTTATATCATCTCTTTTATGCTCTTTATTACATACGAGACAGGTTTTTGAACAATTAAAATAGTCACTGTACTTATTACTATATTTCAAAGTTAAATAAGGAAACTGCTCTAATACCATTTTGATAACATGAGCTCGCCTTTTTTCGAGATCACTAGGTAAAACAGAAATTGAAGATCAGGATTTGTTAGATATATTTATCTGGGATATAGGTAGCATACTTACCTCAGTTTCTGAATTAGTAGAAATAGATGAGTCAGAGACTCAAAACTTTGTTTTTTCAGTAGATGCATTTACCTTAGCTTCTGGTAATTCTGAGGAAGCAGAGCTTCGAGTCTTTGACTTATCTTGATCATTTTCTTGAGATGGTTCAGAGCTTGATGAATTAGAAACTTGAGACTCAGTAGGTAAACTTACTTAACTAGATTCAGGAATTTCAGTCATATGATTTGAAAGACCTGAGGTCATCAAAATTTCTATAGAAGAATTGTCATGATTGCTAGAGAAATAGTCAATAACTTTTTGAAGTTCTTCATTAGTAAATTTTGAGATAGAATTCGCACTATAAGTTTTAATATATTGAATCTTATCTGTTCCTATTTTTTCGAATAAATTAAAGATTTTTATAGCTTTCTGAGTTTGCTTACATAAATTTCCCCACTTATTATTGGGAAGTTGTTCTATAATAAAGTCATAGACTAGGCCTT